GGGGGGAGGAACCATTATAGGGGTGGGTGGGCTCTCGAGAACCTTTACACCCCTATTCATGGTCACTTGGTATGTCCCAGCTCTTTGTTGTCTATGGGCGGGCGAGTTCATTGGGGGGAGAAATGGGGGGGGGCAGAAGGAATGGACCTTCTCTTCTCTTCCCCCCTCCCCGTCCTCTCATAGGCGCCATGGGCTGGGAGATACCAAGTCACTAAAGCAGGGAGGGTTGGGAAATACCAAGAGCACAAGAATGGAAGGTGTGTTTGTACCACGTGGTATTCCTGGGGGTGGGGGGGGATTATTATTGTAGGGTCTCTTCTCGCTGGTGGCATGGCGGGGGAGGGGACGGGATGTGTGAGACTAGGTTGGTGCTGGCTGGGAGGGGTTGTAGGGTTTGGCTCGCTGCCGGTCCGTGGGTGGGGGAGTTATTTCCCGTAGGGTGGGTCGTCCCGGGCCTGGGGCAGGGGGGGGCACTATCCTGGGGTTGCGCTCGAGGGGTTGGCAGGGATCTGTTATGGTAGGGTTCCCACCCTCGGCTTGTTGTAGGGTTGCTCCTGGGTTTGTTTATTGTAGGTTCTCCTGACCTGGCTAACCACCTCCCTTCTCCTCCTCCAGCCCATGGCGCATCGTGGACGACTGCGGCGGCGCCTTCACCATGGGGATGATCGGTGGGGGGGTCTTCCAGGCCGTCAAGGGCTTCCGGAACGCCCCCATGGTGAGTCCAGCCCCTGACACCCCTCCGTCGCCAGCTGGACCCAGGCCCCAGATACTGTTGGTCTGATTCCCGTCTTGCTGATGGCGCTGGGCCCTTCTGGCTGGGGTGGCTCCCCGCTGACCCCGATCGCTACGGGGAGAAGGGGGCCCGGTGGGGGCCGGGTGGCATCTCACCCCCACTGTTCCTCTGCTGCTCTTCCTCCTAGGGCATCCGACACCGGTTCAAAGGGAGCGTCAGTGCCATCCGCATCAGAGCGCCGCAGATCGGAGGTGAGGGGGGCTGTGTAGTGTGCGGGGGGAGGCGGGCAGTGTGGGGAGGGGGCCAAGGTGTATCTAATCACTGCTCCCTCCTTTCCCCAGGTAGCTTTGCTGTCTGGGGGGGCCTTTTCTCCACCATCGACTGCGGCCTGGTGAAGATGAGGGGGAAGGAAGATCCCTGGAACTCGATCACCAGTGGGGCCCTCACAGGGGCCGTGCTCGCCTCCCGCAGTGAGTGTCCTGTGCAGCACCCCCTGCCAGCCCCCCGCCTCCTCACACCCCCTGCCAGGCGCTCCATCTCTTTAATTCATCTCTTCTTCTCCCCAGGTGGCCCGTTAGCCATGGTCGGCTCAGCCATGATGGGGGGCATTTTACTGGCCTTGATAGAAGGAGTCGGGATCTTACTCACCAGATACACGGCACAGCAATTCCAGAACTGTAAGCAGTGCCCGGGGCTGGGCTGGCAGGGGCTGCGGGTCGGGAGTGAGGCGTGCTGGGGGGGAGGGGGCAGGGCTGGGCTGGGGCGGGCTGCGGGTCGGGAGTGAGGAGCGCTGGGGGGGAGGGGGCAGGGCTGGGCTGGGGCGGGCTGCGGGTCGGGAGT